AAACAACCAGGACTTTCTGTGGAGCTTGTGGTCAGTGAACAAAGAAGAGGAGGTCACAGCTCAGGGTAACCACAGACAAAAACCACATTATTCCTGAAGCCCTGGATAAGCTAATGACCACAAGTGGGAAGTCTTAGATGGCACACACCAGGGACACAATCAGATACGTGTATACGCTTGAAAAAACATTGGGAGAGATGAATGGGTTAAAATGTCAAAGCAAAAAATCAGACCTGTTTAGGATTCTGATGACTCTGGGCCGTGAGTCTAGGGGTTGGCCAGCAGGCTGTGCAGACTGGACGTTATGAACTGATTAATGGCAGTTCACCCCAGGTGATGTGATTATCTATAGAGATGGCTCTGTGTTAAGAGGCAGGAGAAGTGCATGTGGGTGTGAGTTTATTGTGAAAGTAAATGGATGATGCTTAGTGCAAAAGAGCCTAGCATATAATACTACAATGTAGTATGGAGAGAATGGAGGTGGAGGCAGTCACATCAGGTTTCTGCTATCTTTAGAATCATCTATGTACACATGTGCTTGTAACTGTCTTACAAAGCATGCTGAGAAAGGTGGAGACAAGCATGCTCTGCAGAATGGCAAGCGTCGCTTCAGTGTAGTTAGAATCCTTTGGTGATTTTCTCCATGGTATGCAACTATGATAACAAATACAGGCAGAAAGATTGGCTGGTTCTGCGACATTTGGCAATGAATTGTTGCATGACAAGCAAGATGGGGTCAGGGTATTGTCAGAAATGAACAGGCAGAAAGATTGATTTGTTTTACACCATTGGGTGATGAATTGATGCATGACAAGCAAGATGGGGTCAGGGTATTGTCAGAAATGAACAGGCAGAAAGATTGGTTTGTTTTACACCATTGGGTGATGAATTGATGCATGACAAGCAAGATGGGGTCAGGGTATGGTCAGAAATGAACAGGCAGAAAGATTGATTTGTTTTACACCATTGGGTGATGAATTGATGCATGACAAGCAAGATGGGGTCAGGGTATTGTCAGAAATGAACAGGCAGAAAGATTGGTTTGTTTTACACCATTGGGTGATGAATTGATGCATGACAAGCAAGATGGGGTCAGGGTATGGTCAGAAATGAACAGGCAGAAAGATTGATTTGTTTTACACCATTGGGTGATGAATTGATGCATGACAAGCAAGATGGGGTCAGGGTATGGTCAGAAATGAACAGGCAGAAAGATTGATTTGTTTTACACCATTGGGTGATGAATTGATGCATGACAAGCAAGATGGGGTCAGGGTATGGTCAGAAATGAACAGGCAGAAAGATTGATTTGTTTTACACCATTGGGTGATGAATTGTTGCATGACAAGCAAGATGGGGTCAGGGTATGGTCAGAAATGAACAGGCAGAAAGATTGATTTGTTTTACACCATTGGGTGATGAATTGATGCATGACAAGCAAGATGGGGTCAGGGTATGGTCAGAAATGAACAGGCAGAAAGATTGATTTGTTTTACACCATTGGGTGATGAATTGATGCATGACAAGCAAGATGGGGTCAGGGTATGGTCAGAAATGAACAGGCAGAAAGATTGATTTGTTTTACACCATTGGGTGATGAATTGTTGCATGACAAGCAAGATGGGGTCAGGGAATGGTCAGAAATGAACAGGCAGAAAGATTGATTTGTTTTACACCATTGGGTGATGAATTGTTGCATGACAAGCAAGATGGGGTCAGGGTATGGTCAGAAATGAACAGGCAGAAAGATTGATTTGTTTTACACCATTGGGTGATGCATTGATGCATGACAAGCTAGGGCCCTTTGAGAACAAGTGAAAAATGGAATCACGAATGGATAATTATGGTTGGAGAGTTGTGCAGCTAGCAATGACAAGGGGATCCTGTCAGCACTCTACACTCGGAGGAAAGGTACACTCGGAGGAAAGGTACACTCGGAGGAAAGTTACACTCGGAGGAAAGGTACACTCGGAGGAAAAGTACACTCGGAGAAAAGTTACACTCGGAGGAAAGGTACACTCGGAGGAAAAGTACACTCGGAGAAAAGTTACACTCGGAGGAAAGGTACACTCGGAGGAAAAGTACACTCGGAGAAAAGTTACACTCGGAGGAAAGGTACACTCGGAGGAAAGGTACACTCGGAGGAAAAGTACACTCGGAGAAAAGTTACACTCGGAGGAAAGGTACACTCGGATAATAAAAAATAAAATAATAAAACTACTGCTGGCACTGTTAGAACTGGAACTCTTTGCTGGCTACTGAAGATGAGGACAGAGGGCTTATGGAAATTACCCGAGTGCTGTGATATCCTAACTCAACTGTCAGGTTTTCATAGTGTACAAAACACACATCACATGTTAAGTGGTGTGTAGGGTAAATCTGGTGACACATCTTTTTTTTGTTTTTGTTCCTAAAGAGTTAACTTAAAGAAAAAAAGCATACTAGTACATAAAATAGTCGGCAAAGTGTATTTTATATTAGTATACAAATATAAAATAAAGTGGTTGAATGGATATGTCTTTTGTGTAAAATGAACAATTTAATGTTCAGTATGAAAAAAAAGAGGAATATACATTTCCAGTTGCTTGTCACAAAGGATCAATATCTTGTTTTCACATGGAAATCTGTAAGCACATCTTAGTGTCCAGTTCTTGTTGAAGTCATTGTAGATCAGTGGTATTCAACCTATTTCAGGTGGTCAGTTCTTGTTGAAGTCATTGTAGATCAGTGGTATTCAGCCTTTTTCAGGTGGTTCTTTCCCCTCTCCTTTCCACTCTTTTGAATTATTAGCACAATTATTTCCACAATTTAAAAAAAAAACTGATTTAAAAGGGCATAAAATGAGACATTTTAAGCACTGTTAACAAGAACCACATCAATCAAAATGTTTAAATAACATCAAATAAACGATCATTAACAACTGGTAGTTTAGTGTCCAAATATGAATGTGATAATTGACACTGTTTTGTCTTGAGGATAGCTGCTATTTTTTAGCCTCAATTTGCACAAGGGAGATCACTCAAGCTGGCAATGCTGTTTTATTTCCATGACTGCTTAAACTGCAATTCTGGATTTACAAGGTTATGTGGAGAACAAAGGCAAAAATACATTTGTAGTTAATTTGGCCACCTGAGGGTTCATTGCAAAGTAGTGCACCAAAAGAATAAAAATTCTAACCTAAAGGATGTGAAATAACCGTGAGCATTTGAATTACATTTCAGCGCAATTGCTTCTTCTTGAATAGATGATAGGAGTATGTCAGTGTCAATAATAGAACAATTTCTGGCCAACTTCCAAAATGATAAAAACTGAACTCCTCTTCGAGAAAATCTGAATGTGACAACATTTTAACTGCAAGTTCGTTATTTTCACACTTCTTATTTTCCAACTGTTCATTAAGACAATGAGTAGATGAGTTCTTGGATTCAGTTTGTTGTTTCTATATCTTAATTCTCCCCCCAACTCCCCCAAACGAAAACTCTGATTGCATCACAGTGTAGAATAATGTTGCCATTGTTTCCTTAAAGTTTTAATTTCTAGTTATTCTTAAGCTCAAAAAAAAAAAAAAAAAAAAACCGGCAAGATGCGCCAATGAAATAACAGTAAATACATGCATGACACATGTCATCAATTTTTGTGTCTGTGGATACTTAGTTTGTTATTAATATATAATTAAATGCACACTTATCTTATTTATCAGATTTGTAACCTTAAATGTAAAAAATACTCATAAAAACAAAATCATCTTTGGCTATTTGTTTTATAAATAGTTTAAAAAAAATATTTTATTTATAAATTATACACTGGAAAAAAACAAAACATTACAATTAACAAATGTACTCATTTTCAAAATTTGTATATGCCACTCCGCCCCCTACTTTTAAACGTCTCCTCCCCCCCCCCCCTTTCCCCCACCACCGGTTGGAAGCCACTGTTCTAGATGATGAAGTTCTGGTCAAGTGTGCACATTTATTGTGCCATTCATGTCTTACATTGGAGCAGTATATTTGGCAGACATGTACTTTGCTGGCCCCAGGTCTTATGTTTCTTATCTATGGGCCACGTCTTCTCACTGCGAATTTGATTAGTACAACCTATCTCTCTCTTTGTCACTCCCTCTCACTGCTACTCTCTCCATTTCTTTCTCTCTGTTATCCCCATCTCTCTGTCACCTCTCTGTGTCCTCTCTCTCTTTGTCAGCCTCTCTCTCTCTGTCACCCTCCTTCTCGCTGTCACCCTCTCTTGCTGTGTCACCCTCTCTCTCGCTGTCACCCTCTCTCTCACTGTGTCAACCTCTCTCTAGCGGTCAGTCTCTCTCTCTCTGTCACCATCTCTCTCGCTGTGTCACCCTTTCTCGCTGTGTCACCCTCTCTCACTGTGTCACCCTTTTTCTCTGTCACCGTCTCTCTCGCTGTGTCACCCTCTCTCGCTGTTTCACCCTCTCTGTCACCCTTTCTCTAGCTTTGTCACCCTCTCTCTAGCTTTGTCACCCTCTCTCTAGCTTTGTCACTCTCTCTCTAGCTTTGTCACCCTCTCTATCGCTCACATTGTGTGTACTATCCCCCACCAGCATAGATTTCTCACCTGCTGGTTCTCGTGGTTGTGGCTTGTGTTAACATCATCAGTCAGCAGGTTCTTTACAGAACGTCGCTCTTGTCACAGCACACCTGAAAGTCTCTTTCTCCAGCCTTATGCACTTTCACAGCCAGTGCATCTTTAATGTCTTGTACCACCTTCACGGAGGTCTACCTCTGCCTTGAAACTGTACCATCCATCATCTTTCTCTCTTGGACACCATGACGTTTACAATGGCCAAAATGCTCCAGTTTTATGAGCTTATTCTCCTCAATGTTCAAATTATGTATAAAGTCGGTGTTTTTGTTCTTCTTGGGGCTTGCGTTATACTTTTTACAATTAAAAAAAAAAACTAAACTACAATAGATAGATTACCCCCCCCCCCCCTTTTTTTTTTTTCTTTTTCCCGTTTCCTGATTAAAACGTTAGGATGATACTGTAAACGTAATTAAGACGACAACAACAACATTGATCACACTAAACAACACAAGGCTACAGACTGTGCCCTTAAATATATAGGACTGGGCCCCGCATGTTGTGTTGTCATAAGTGTCAGTGCTAATGACCCCCCATTCCATTGTGGTCTGGTAGTACCATTGGGGTTTAGTGGGTGCCACTGCCAGGACCACATCTTTGTGCCCTATTGCTACGTCAGCGCAGCCGTAAAATTGCTCCTGGTTGCCACATCCAATGCAACCAGTTCCATCAGGGTTGGCGCCCCAGCTGTTGCCTGCTGTGTACTTCCACTGCAACATGCAGGCTCGACACCTGATACCAGCTGGCAAGCGGAACTTCATCGCAATTTTCCCACTGTATCCGATATCAGGAACTGGGTATTTCACCGTTCCTTTTGTTTCCTCAACCAATGGATATCTAGCCAAACAGTCTTCGGTAACTTTACCGAACGGGTCATCGCTAGGACATATATGAAACTCAAAAAAACCCTTATGGTTGGCGGTGAGGTCGATGACAATGTCGATGACTTGTCCAACTTCGTAGGAGCGAACGATGATTCCATTGGCGAAAGCACCACCAGCCTCGTTTTCGCGGGGTCCATTCCATGGATCTCCGCAGACGCCGCATTTACCTCCATTAACACCGTACTGGACCTAGAAGACAAATGGACACAGAAATCGAAATGTGAATCATTCAATACATGATTGTTAGGAAACTATGTGGCGTAGCTTCTATCTCTGTAAGAGACCGGGGATCTGAAGGAGGAGAACAAACGCATACTGAAAAGGGTGGAGAAATGCATGTTGCATGTAGAGTGACAAGCATTATGCCCAAGAAGTCCAGTAGTTAGCGTTTTTTTGGATGTTTTCTCGGGAGCATTCAGGTGTTTTGGGACGCGAACAGGCAGTGCTGCATCATTGGTGGTGAACTAGTGCAAGGCGATTTTATGAGACCAATCGGCACTTAGTAAGTGATGTGTCAGCATCACGGAGGCCGCATTTACTTCCCAGGGCTTGTACCTGGTACCCACTCAAAGCTGGGTCTTTCTGGCAGTCAAGATCATTTTTAATCAAAAGTCCGGCTCCGTCGGAACCTGAACCCACGACCTTCCGATCCATAGGCGAGCGTCTATGCGCGAAACCATGGCGACTCCTCATGATCAACAAGGCAAGCGAAATAGAAATTGTGTGCTTCTTACCCTATTGACACATAGATGTTAACCATCTCAAGCCAAACATTCGTATTTTATGTCGTCTCCTGATGCCCTCTCTCTTCGTGTAGCCAGCACAAATTATTCTTTCTATGTGTTTTAGGTCTCTCTCCGTCTATATCTCTATCCTCTCTCTTCCGCCTCTCTCCTCCCTCAGTGCGGTCCCTGTTGTCTGTGTGTGTGGTGTGTGTATGTGTGTGTGAGTGTGAGAGTTTATATATATATATATATATATATATATATATATATATATATATATATATATATATATATATATATATATATATATATATATATATATATATATATATAAGAAACGCTATTGTATGCGATAGGCGCTTGCCTGCCCGCACGAAAGTCTTGGATTCGAATCCGTATTTGGTTTTCGAAAGATGACCTCAGCTCCCAGGTTGACCAGCTGACAAAGGGTGCCAGGTAATGACCTGAAACGTTAAGGTTTCCGGCACGCTTTTTGTTTGCTTTGAGTTTGTGTTTGTTTTTTTCATAAACCGCAATTAAGGCAAAATAAAAACTTGTTGTTTGTTTACTTTAAAAAAAAAAGTGTATCTATCTTTCACTGACATGATTATTAACAGTTTACATGCTGGGTTTCAACAACTTACCTCGAATGGGTTGTGAAGTTAAAGATTTTTAAAACGGGGTTGTACTTCTGGAACAGACAATAGTTCTCACACATAAGCTCTTCATTATTGTTTCTACTATACCACTTGAGTTCTCTACTAGAAAATAAAGAAAGATCCCTTTTCACGCCTTTAGGCGTATCGGGCATATGGGAAAGAGCACCCATATTTCTACAGACCAATCGGCGCTCGGTTGGTAATGTGGTCAGCATTACACCGGCTGTCTTTACTTCCCCAGGACAGCCATTCTGGTACCCATTTGAGGCTGGGTCGACCTGCGACGTCCCATACCACAATAAAAATCCACGCAGCCTGCAGTGGGTTTTGATCGCGGTACGTTGGATTACGAGTCGGACTCGCAACGCCTTAGCCACGGACACCGTATTCTCTACTACTAATTAGGTACCAAATTGTCGTACTATATGTCACCATGCAGCAGTGTTGCCACTTTGAATGTTTTACATCCATATCTAGAGGTTTCATTTTTGCATCTAGATGGTGTTTTTGACGCAGGTGTAGGTGTAATTCTAGATGTTTTTCATTTCCAGTTAGATATTTTACAGATTGTTTTCTTTGAGTGTCAGTTTGATAATTACTATTTAAAATATTTATTACACATTTTTTGGGGGGTCTGGGCACGAACATTGTGGTAACTGCGACTACTTAAACTTTGAACTTACTGGGGTCAATGCTCAATAATTTGGCAGCCCCGGTACTGATTAAGAGCGCGCATAAATTTAAGTTGTCATTGTGCAATTTCAAAGAAAATCTGGCGAACCAACATCGAAATAAGGCGAGCAGTGCTCACTACAAAAAAGCTGGGGAACCAGCACTAAACTGGGGCGAGCAGTGATCACTTCAAAAAGAATTATATCAACAGTATATTTTTAGACGGCCCCATCTCGTCGGCTTCGATATTTTGTAGGGAAATCCCTAGAACATACCATGCTACAGGGTCGGTTAGGGTTAGTAGCAGTCATTATTCATTTAACACTCGCCTAAACACCCCCCCCCCCCTTTCTATACTATGGCACTGTGAAGGAAAATCCATAGGAATTCCCTACGAAATCTCGAAGCCGATCAGATAAGGTCGTCTAAAATTAAAGTACCATATCATGTTTATAATGCAATGCTTTTTTTTTTTTATATCAACGGTACATTTTTAGACGGCCCCATCTCGTCGGCTCCGAGATTTTGTAGGGAAATCCCTAGAACATACCATAATACAGAGCGGTTAGTGTTAGTAGCAAGGGGGCGGAAGTGCTCACAATAAGAACGCTGGTAAACAAACATCAAACCAGGGCAAGCAGTGCTCACTACAAGAAGGCTGGTGAACCAACATCAAACTTTACTTGGGGGGGGGGGGGGAAGGAGTGCTCACTATAAAAACGCTGGTGACAAACACCAAGCTGGGGCATTCTGTTCTCACTACAAGAAGACTGGTGAACCAATATCGAACTGAGGCGAACAGTGCTCACTACAAGAAAACTTGTGAACTAACATCGAACTTGGGCGAGCAGTGATCACTACAAGAAGACTGGTGAACCAGTACTAATCTTGGGCGAACTGTGCTCACTATAAGAAGACTAGTGATCCAACATCGAACTTGGACGAGCAGTGCTCACTACAAAGAGGCTAGTGAACCAGCACTAAACTGGGGCGAGCAGTGCTGACTTCAAAAAGAATGATATCAACGGTACATTTTTAGACGGCCCTATCTCGTCGGCTCCGAGATTTTGTAGGGAAATCCCTAGAACATACCATACTACAGGGGCAGTTAGGGTTAGTAGCAGTTATTGTTCATTTAACATTCGCCTAAACTCACCCTTCCCCCCCCCCCTCCCATAATATGGCACTGTGAAGTAAAATCCACAGGAATTCCCTACGAAATCTCGAAGCCGATGAGATAAGGTCGTCTAAAATTCAAGTACAATATCGTCATCACCATCATCAATCAGTTGTCCCTTTACATAACGTCGCTCTCGTCTGAAAGCAGTGTTCTCTACAAGAAGATTGGTGAACCAACACTGAACTGGATCTAGCAGTACTCACTACAAAAAGGCTGGTGAACCAACATCAAACTTTTTTAGGGGGTGGGGGGAGGAAAGGGGGAGGAGTGCTCACTATAAGAACGCTGGTAAACAAACACCAAGCTGGGGCAAGTAGTGCTCACTACAAGAAGACTAGTAAACCAACATCGAACTTTGGCGAACAGTGCTCACTACAAGAAGACTAGTAAACCAACATCGAACTTTGGCGAACAGTGCTCACTACAAGAAGACTAGTAAACCAACATCGAACCGGGGCGAACAGTGCTCACTACAAAAAGACTAGTAAACCAACATCGAACTTTGGCGAACAGTGCTCACTACAAGAAGACTGGTAAACCAACATCGAACTTTGGCGAACAGTGCTCACTACAAGAAGACTAGTAAACCAACATCGAACTTTGGCGAACAGTGCTCACTACAAGAAGACTGGTAAACCAACATCGAACTTTGGCGAATAGTGCTCACTACAAGAAGACTAGTAAACCAACATCGAACCGGGGCGAACAGTGCTCACTACAAAAAGACTAGTAAACCAACATCGAACTTTGGCGAACAGTGCTCACTACAAGAAGACTTGTGAACTAACATTGAACTTGGGCGAACTGTGCTCACTACAAGAAGACTTGTGAACTAACATTGAACTTGGGCGAACTGTGCTCACTACAAGAAGACTAGTAAACCAACATCGAACTTGGGCGAACAGTGCTCACTACAAGAAGACTAGTGATCCATCATCGAACTTGGACGAGCAGTGCTCACTACAAGAAGACTAGTGATCCAACATCGAACTTGGGCGAACAGTGCTCACTACAAGAAGACTAGTGATCCAACATCGAACTTGGACGAGCAGTGCTCACTACAAGAAGACTAGTGATCCAACATCGAACTTGGGCGAACAGTGCTCACTACAAGAAGACTAGTGATCCAACATCGAACTTGGACGAGCAGTGCTCACTACAAGAAAGCTGGTGAACCAGCACTAAACTGGGGCGAGCAGTGCTGACTTAAAAAAGAATTAAATCAACGGTACATTTTTAGACGGCTCCATCTCGTCGGCTCCGAGATTTTGTAGGGAAATCCCTAGAACATACCATACTACAGGGGCAGTTAGGGTTAGTAGCAGTTATTGTTCATTTAACACTCACCAAAACACCCCCTCTCTCCCTCCCATAATATGGCACTGTGAAGGAAAATCCATAAGAATTCCCTACGAAATCTCGAAGCCGATGAGATAGGATCGTCTAAAATTTAAAGTACCATGTGAAGTTTAGAATGCAATGCTTTTTGAGCTTCTAATAATGATAAATTAAAATAAATTCTTAAGCCGGACTGATGAAAATGATAGAGTTCATGGAAAACTTTAAAAAAAGAATTAAAAAGAAAAAAGAAAAGAAGGGTCCTCAGGTCTTAGCTAACTGGCCACCAAGATCGTCATCATCATCATCAATCAGCGGGCCCTTTACAGAACGTCGCTCTCGTCACAGCAAGTCTGAAAGCCGTGCTCACTACAAGAAGATTGGTGAACCAGCACTGAACTGGATCTAGCAGGTTTGTGGGCCAAATGTGTGACCCTTTGGAAATAGAGTTTGCTTATTTTTCCCTGTTCCAGTGTATAATAATAATAATAATAATAATAATAATAATAATAATAATAATAATAATAATAATAAAACAGTGTCATTAATAAGAAAAGGTCAGCAGATAAACTTACCCCGACACCCCCACAGAACAGTTCCATGTCCTGATAATTGATTGGAGAATCGTAGCCTAGTCGCCACATGCTGGACCTAGAGGGGGGTTCCCATAGCCGACCATGCCCAAGCACAGGAACCAGCAGAGCCGTCAGACAGGAGACTATGAACTCCTGGACCGCCAACGCTGGTCGCATCTTTCACAGCTCTCTGTGGCATATTGGGAATTGAAGGGTTATTTCTTTAAAAGCACAGCTAATAAGAGAATCTATTTTTTTTTTAAATCTAAAAACATTAAGATTTCCAAAGTAAATACAGCAGACCAACCACATGTCCAAATCAAAAACTAAGAGCGTAAAAACAGATTTTGAATATTTAAGCTAAGTAATGAACAACAACGGTGACTGCACAAAAGAAGTTTTAAAAAGGCTAGTTTTAACAACGCAGAGGCTAAACAGCAGAAACAACCTACGATACATCACCTGCCAAAAACTGCCAATTACTGTCTTTATTATACTACTTTTGCGGTGTTAGCAGGGGGTTTTTGAGCGTGAGAGTTTACGGTCGCATGGCTAGTGCTGTCGCCACGACTGTGCAGTTAGGGATTTTATGTTGGCCCCCGACAGAAAATAATATCCCCAGCCTTACCGAGGATTTGAACCTGGGTCTCCCGTTTGGCCAGCCGTTCCTCACAACACCAGCAAGCGAGCTAAATTAAATTTTTAAGATCACGTATCTTTCCCGTGGCAATTTGTGGATGTGTCATGGACTCTCACCTAGTCTCACTTAAAAAAAAATAATCTTCCCGTGTGGGTTCCGGGGCCCCATTGTGGGGAAACAAGAATAGACACAATGTCTCCCCAACAAGGATGCGTAAGAATCAACTAATTGGGGATTTCCTTCGAAGTCGGACTGCATCTGCCTGATAGGCAAGGAATCCAACAATATGCATTCAGATAAGTCAGATCCGTAATACGGATGTGCACGCAACACTCAGGTTCTGGAACAAGACTACAGTCCAGAGATGGACAAACAACCAGAACCTTTCGCTGGAGTTAACAGCCAGTGAACGCGAAAAAGAAGAGAAAGAATAAAATAATCGGAGCTTTTGAACCGAAAAGCTACAGAAAGGCTCATAGAATACTGAGCACCTTGAAGAAGATAAACGCGTCATCCTATATGACCTGAACATCAGGAAGAACTGGCTTGTAAACAGCATCCTGTCCCGATAGCTAGGGTATTTTAGTCATGTCAGTTCTCTTGGTGGTCTTAGGAGAACATCGATGAATCCAGCCATTTATTTATTCATACTAAGACACATAGGGCGCATCATCAACCAACCAGAACAACATCCAGTAGGCAATTATTATCTATCCTTGAGATTACACCACCTAAAAAAAAAAAAAAAGTAGACAACAGTACACCACACTTTTCGGGAACCCTACCTCCCTTTTATAGAACATGTCTCCAAAATCTCATAGAAAACGAAACATTAGTACAAAATACAACAAAACAAATTTACACACACTTAGTAACTAAACAAGAGATCCCACTGTACACCAAAATCAAACGAGGAACAAGATACACTAGAACAAATCACTACATGTCCTTTGCAAACATACACCAACCATACATAAAACCAGTAGCAAAAGAAATAACGTATAGATTACTTTTTAATTTTGCTCCCACTAAAGAAAAAATAGCAAAAATTAAAAAATGTAAAATACCATGCAAACTGTGCTCAAACAACATACAAGAGACAAAAGAACACATATTTTATGAATGTACAACAATTAAGACTACACTTCAAAATCTCAAAACCATCATCTACAAACACACAACAACACAAGCAGACATATACAAAGCAATATTTTGAAACACAATTCCTAAAACAGCAAGAGAAAATCATGAAAAAGTTTTGACGGCACTGGCAGAATCCAGAGCTTTAATCTGGAGGTACAGGTGTAAAGCAGTGCATGAGGATAAAAAGTATACCTCCCATCATCTTCTGCACCACTTCCAGTGCCTATGGACAAACATATTCAATTAACAAACACCCTACAAGTACACACACTATTATATGTAATTACTGTATATACTTCTCCTTCCTCTCTCGCTCTCAACCCCTTTTCACTTACAATTCTCAACTCCTCCTCCCTTCCTCAAGCCTCTATCCTCTATCACATATCATGTTTATTTGAAATGTATTTACAAAATTATGTGTAAAAAAAATGTACATAACCAGCAATTATGGCCAAAATAATCCCAAAAATAACCCCCTCCCCCCATTTGAAATAAAGCTGAAACAGAACCCCCCCCCCCCCCCCCTCATTCGCCTATTGTAAATAAACAATCCCTTCTTTAAACAATTTGAACATGTTTAAAATTATAACTCAGTGTATCAGTATGGTTAACATGTATGTATCTGATTATGTACAGCATTGAACACAAACAAAAGGCAACACTTGTAAATACACATACAAAATTGATAAATAAAAGTTAAAATAAAAAAAAAAGGATCGGTTATAACTGTGATCTGGTTTCTTTGTGCCAATTTCGTTGTCTAAGAAAGAGATATTTTCAGGCGTGCCGTAAAGAGAGCTTCATTATGTAAAGAACCTGCTGACTGACTGCGAGTTTTAAATATATATTATATATATATATATATAATATGTATCTTATATATATATATATATATATATATATATATATATATATATATATATATATATATATATATATATATATATATATATATATATATATATATATATATATGGTTAAATTAACGAAGTCGGGCTCTCACTCTCTTTTTGAGCCATTCTTGTCGCAGGTACTGTCATATGTTGCGGGGGGGTGTCACGCTTATATATATATATATATATATATATATATATATATATATATATATATATATATATATATATATATATATATATATATATATGCTACTTATGATAAACCTGCCCCCAATGTGAGAGTTCCTTCCACTTACATTCATGCCGTGGCCGGTTCCACGACCTTTCATGTGTTGTGGGCGTGCCATGTATATTTTATTTTCAACGGTTTAACCGTTCTCTCTGTTCTCGTGTTGTCACCTCTCACTTGCGTGATTATCTCAAAACAAAGACATCTGTATAGATTATCACACCACCTGGGCGAGAATAGTCATAAACATTTGTTGAACTTCTGATTCTGGAGCGCCCTGTGGCCAGTCCCTGCGCTTACGGCCCAGTGTGATCAGAACCCTACACAAGTCTGACTTTTGCTGGGACATTCTGATCCAACCCCTCTCCCCGTCCATTGTTACCATGACTGCACGCATGTCTAATTGAGTCTCTGCCTGCGCCATCCTCTTTTCAGCTGTGACCCGGTGCTCTACACTATGATATGACTTTGCTTGCAGAACTTTGAGCCTATCTGTAATAGTCGGCAGTGCAAGTATTTATCGCATACATACTGCCGGGGTATCTCTTCTACACAGTTTAATGTATTGTTGAAAAAAAAAAAAAAACGTTTTTACAAAACCAGTAATAGATTTCGAAGTCGTAGTGCATATGCATGAGAGGCAATTAACCAGCAGTCTGCATACAAATAATCCAGATCTGTAAAATGGATGTGCAAGCAAAACACATGTTCTGGTACAAGGCTAAAGTTAAGAATCTGCATCAATGGACAGTAGTCTCAGACGTAACTTTAGACCCATCTCCTCACTATCAGCACTATGGAACCCCAAGCAAACCACTTAGAGCACACATATACGCACACACATGTGAACACACACACTCGCGCGCATGCGCACATACACACAAAGACTTCATAATTTAGAATACAATAAATGTATCATTAAACCAGTCACGGCCTCGACTAAAGTGGGCCATGCAAACATGATAGAAAACTGACATCGGAATATTAACGAAGATAACGAACATTTTTAACCAGAAAGCTGGTATCGGTGACAGCAAGATATAAACTTTTAACGCTAATAAAACTGTTGGTTCTTTATTATTATGCTACCCCAGATTATATCAGAGGACAGTCACAAATTTTAGAGGGTGTAAGGACTGGGTTTCCTGGCTTTCTTGATGCTTTTAACCACCTTAAACATCTCGATCTGGCCCTAACCAAAACCACATATGTCCCATAAAAGAGTGCAACCTAGGTCCAACGACTGCATGCAGCCTATCTACTACCCCCTGAAATATTAGACAGTCCGTGCACTCTATTCTTCTTCTGCCATTTATTTTTGCCATATGAAACAGACCCTCAACCAAGTCAAGCCGTTCTATCCCTCGCTGTTGCATGTAGCTCTTCCCATGTCCTCCCTATCTTTTTAACTTCATTCTCTACCTCCCTTCTCCATTTGGAATCTGCCTTCATTTATATGCCCCGGTGGGCACCAGTGCAAAGGCATTCTAGTTATATTATTCTCAGGCTTTAACAACGTGTGTCCTTAGATATGCATAAAACATATTAACGGTACAATTCAACACATTTGTTATTATTATCAGTATTATTATCAGGTGTTGTTAAGATATGCATGAAACATATCTAGACACAATTCAACACATTGCAAATAAATAGTAATGTCACGTGGTCAACCGGTCACTAGCAGAAAACATTTGAACAAATAAAAAAAAACAAGGCGTAATTTTGCGCCCTTCTACCAAACAATGTAATGTTTCAGTGTGCGCCCTTCCACTAAACAATGCCATGTGTCACTGCCTCCCCAACCCAAACAATGCCATGTGTCACTGCCTCCCGACCCCAAACAATGCCAAGTGTCATTGTGCGAAATCCCACCAAACAATGCTATGTGTCACTGTGCGCCCTCCCACCAAACAATGCCATGTGTCATTTTGCGCCCTTTTACCAAACAATGTCATGTGTCACTATGCGCCCTTCTACCAAACATTGCCATGTGTCACTGGGCGCCCTCCCACCAATCAATGCCATGTGTCCTTTTGCGCCCTCCCACCAACAATGCCACGTGTCACTGCCTCCTCCCACCAAACATTGGCATGTGTCATTGTGCGCCCTCCCACAAAATAATGTCATGTGTCATTGTGCGCTCTCCCACCAAACAATGTTATGTGTCACTGGCTCCTCCCACCAAACAATGTCATGTGTCACTGGCTCCTCCTACCAAACAATGTTATGTGTCACTGGCTCCTCCTACCAAACAATGTTATGTGTC